AGAATCAATTAGTGGAATAAAAATTAATGAGGTTTACGGCACTGGATCATTTCCACTCTAGGCCAGTTATTTTATTACAAGTTGGACTAGCATTTCCTTGAAAGAAGAAAAATTAGATTTCTTTTAATCCATATTTTAAAAGAAGAGAGCTATCTTTTTCGTATGTGAGTTAAATACCTTTAATAACTATAGCTTTTGTGGGCTTTGTAATATTGATTTTTGTTTGTTTTCATTCTTGATTATTTTGACCTTTTTTGGGAGAGTTTCTTATTACAACAAAGCTAATGTTAACTCTTTGGATACTTCTTACCATTTACGGTGATGGCACTTTTAAAAAATTTTTTTTATTTTGAATTTTTGAATTTTATGGTCCAATTTCAGAGACACTAGGGTTCCCTCCTAACTCCTACCTCCTGACAGATTTCCCCCACATTGCTACAATAGTATAATTCTTCATAAGGAGTCATAACTCTATGAGTCTGTTATTTAAGTGCGCCCCGACACTGGTACACAGTGTTAGTCCAGCATCCCATTGTCTACACATTTCCAGCAGTTTTATTGGGACTCCATCTTTGGTTTGGAAGCAGCGATGCAGATTGCATTGTACCCCCACATCTGGATATGGTAGTCTCTGTTACTCTATCATATATATTCCCATAAATGAGAAGCCATGAACTAAGGTCAATAACCAGTGTGAATACATAATTCACATTTTGAACCAAACATTTTTTTTTTATGGGCAGAACATATCATTGGTCATTTTTTATTGTTATTGTACCAAGGGTAAGATTAATAAAGATTTTTTTTGAAAAATTTAAGTATTTTGCTGAATGTTAGAAATGATAATATCATATGGAAATGAAAAGCTAAGACATCTGGAGTTATGAGTCTTGTTTTACCTTCAAAAAATTACAGGTTATATTCTATTTTTTTTTTTAAGATTTATTTATTTTAATGGAAAATCAGATTTTACAGAGAGGAGAGATGGAGAGAGAAAGATTTCCCATCCACTGTTGCACTGTGGAGATGGCCAGCCACCATTCTGGAGCTGAGCCCATCTGAAGCCGGGAGCCTCCTTGTGGTCTCCCACACAGGTGCAGCATCCCAAGGCTTTGGACCACCCTCTGCTGATTTTCTAGGCGTTAAGAGAGCTGAATCAGAATTGGGGCAGCTGGAACTCAAACTGGCACCCGTAGGGGATGCTGCATCTTGCAGCTAAATCAGCCGATGAGCCGTAGCATCGGCCCCTGGATTCTGCCTTTTGAAGGAGGCCCTAGGCTGTTATTATTTGTGTTATATGTTTTTAATTTTAAATATGTAAGTAATATGATGTATAGCTTTAGGTCTTCTTACGAAAACAGATTGCATTTCCTTGAATCTTTGGAAATCTCCGTCTGCATATCTGTAAGGAGGGTGAGGGTTGCCACAGTGGTGCTTCCCTAGACAGGCTTATTGGGCAGCACCGGTTGAGTTCCTTTTGTTTACTTAGTTTGTTGGCTCTTGTCCTCTGCTGTTAGAGTGTAAATTATGTACAGGAAGGAGATATTTGGCAGAGAGGCTAGTGTGCACAGTTAAAGTTGATTGTCAGGAGCTTTGTATTACCTCAGATGTTGAGGTCTACAGTAAATACAATTGTCAGGACACTTACCATGCAAACAGTAGGCAAAACTTCATGTTGACTCAAGCTTCATTTTCTGTCCTTTTCCAAAGGAAATGACTTGATTGTGAACATGACGCCGAAGATTTTTTTTGGAGGGGGAGGAGGGGCGCTAGTGAGTAGGCCAGTTAGGTGTGAGGCATTAAGGACTAGATCTTTTTGTTTTACTAAAAAGTTTAAAAATTCGTTGATTTGAGAGAGAATAATTGAAACTTAAAGAATTCCTGTTTGATAGTTCACAGCTGAGTATGGTTGTAGTAGCTGGGTAGAAGCTGGGAGATGGGGATGCAGTGCAGGTCTCCCATGTAGGGGAGAGAAAGTCAGGCTACTGAGTCATCATTGCTACCTTCCAAGATGGAGTAAGAGCAGGGACTTGAACCCAGGTACTGCAGAATGGGATGTGAGTGTCCTAACCACCAAATGGCTACTCTCTTTTCTTTTCTTAAAAACTTCAAAAAAACTATTAATTGCATCAATTTCAAATCTAAGATTTTTGCAGAGATTGTTAGCCTGTGTAGCGGCGTCAAAGGAAGTACTGGACATGTGAGTACTGCGAATGCCTAATGAACAGATGGGAACAGACAGGAAGGAGTCTTCTTCAAGGATCCTGCTCTTGAGTTTCCTACTGAAGGAAAATGATCTCTGTTTTTCTCATGAGAGAAATGAAATGATCACCTTTTGGCATATTGATGTTGCAAAATAGACAATACTTGTTGGCCATGAATATAGCAGTCAGTCCTTTTATAAAACAAATAGTATATATATTGGACAAATACAAAGTCAGTAGAACCTTAGAATAAGGGTGTCTGTGGAAATGCAGAGCATGTATTGGAATAAATGGTCGTGTCTCACGTTTGCAGTGTATTCCTGAAGTAAGTCAAAATATTTTATGTTTTGAGAAATAATTAAAGATGCTGGATATGTTACTTACCCAGTTTTATTCCAACGTGCCTAAATTTAAATGAGACTCTTGTAGTTTGCCATTTTATTTAGATTTATATGTTGATTGTAAAACTACTTTTTGTGTGCTAGAAGTCAAATGCGCTTCAAATATAATTTTTTAAAACAATTTTTTAAGAATCTCATTCTTCATTAGAATGCTTATCATGGAAAATAAGTAACTTAACCACTGTTTGAGAATATTCTACATTATGTTGTAATAAGGGTATATAATGTCATCTTTCTGAGCTTGTTTTTTTAAAAAAATGCTTATGTTAGTTTTTTCATTGGAAAGCCAAATATACAGAGAAGAAGATTCTCCATCTGCTGGTTCACTCCCCAGTGGCCACAGTGGTTGGGACTAAGCCGACCCAAAACCAGGAGCCAGGAGCTTCTTCCAGGTCTCCCACATGGGTGCAGAGTTCCTCGACTACTTTCCCAGGCCACAAGCAGGGAGCTGGAAGGGAAGTGAAACTGCTGGGATATGAACTCTTGCCCATATGGGATCCTGGTGGGTGCAAGGCAAGGACTTAGCCACTAGTCTATCGTGCTAGGTCAAGGTTAAGTTTCTTTTCTTTTTTTTCTTTTTTTTTTTTTTCATGTAAGATTTGATTGTTTAATTAGTTGAAAGTCAGAATAACGGAGAAATTGTTACAAGGGCTGGAGTCAGGCCAGACTAAAGCTCGGAGCCAGGAGCTTACCCTGGATGCAGAGGCCCAGGCACCTGAGCGTCTTCAGCTGCTTCTCCCTGGACCCTGGATCAGAAATGACGCAGCCAGGATGTGAATCAGCATCCATGTGGCATGGCAGCATCACAGGTGGCAGCTTTACTCGCTGTGGCATAATGCTGGCCCCCCAAATTCAGGTTTTTGACTTTTAAATTTAGCAAACCCTGTTATACTATTATCTTTATTATGAAGAGAAGCATACAAATAAAGCTAACACAGAAGTGTGAAACATTTGAATTTCAGAACAAATAGTTAAACCTTACTATTTTTGTTTGATCAATGCTGTTTTTTGTTCAGAAATTGATTTTAGGTTGTATACAGGAGCAAACATTTTTCATTAGCAATAAAGCTAAATCATTATGAAGAGAAAGTGCGAGCCCACGAGCGTAAGCCCCAGATCCTGCAGGCTAGAGACAGAAAATTCACTCCTGATTATCCTAGCAGCCCAAAACATAAAATGAACCTTACTGGGCAGGTTTCACTAAAGTGCATTCCTATAAAGCTATTTCTACTGTGATTACCAGGCCAGTGTTGCACGGAATGATGTCCTAACCCCTTCTAGAGTTAAACATGTTCACATCAGCATTCTAAAGGTTCATGGGAATTCTTAGTCCCTCCTCCTTTTTCTCACCTAAACCTATCAGTATTTCCCATTTGGAGAATGAGTTACTGATCTTCAGCTGAAAGCAGTATGTTTGCTTAGAAGCAGCCCAGCAGGGTGAGATTTCAGTTTCTCCTGCAGATCCCCCAGGAGGGAGAGTATGCACAAGGCACAGGGGGCCTCATCCTGAATAAACAACCACAGTGTACAGTCAGGACTTGTAGATGGCTTCTTTTCACAGACTCTTTCCTCATCATTTGACAATCTGTCACCACGAAGTTTGCCATTGTTTATAAATTGCCTTAGACAAATATAGTGACATCAGTGTTGAATTTTCTACCGTGTGGGTTTAGTTCTCTGTTGCTAGTGAAAAATCTTTAGTCTTTGATTATCTATATTCCACCCTCTTCTGAAAAAAGGAAATGTGTATGTGTTGGAGTTGGCAGGGTGCGGTGGGAAAGGACTAGAGCTGAGCAGGAAGCAGAGCAGAATGCTTAATTGGCTGTTGTGCGGGTAGTTGGGGTGATGCACCTGCCGCCGTTATGGACGGAAGCTGTGAAGAAAACGAGGGATCCGGGATGCCTATCCGCAGATGATGTGCAATAACTGAGGCTGCCCCGAGATAACTGGGAGGGTATTGTTTTTGAGCAAAGGTGCAAGGAAGAGCGTGGGTCTAAATGACAATCACAAGCAGAAGCACTGCAGACGCAGCAAACAAAGGAAAGTTCACGCTGTGCAGAGAGAACACTTAATAACCAATCAATTTTCCCCCAGCTTTGCCTGCTCAGACAGAGCAGTGATTTTAGTAAGGTCATCCTCCGATCTGAACAGTCTCTTCCAAGGAATCTTTTCCAAATTTTTAATTTACAATTCTTTTGGAAGTTTTAGGAGGGTCTTGATGAGTGAATCGAGTGCTTTATGTGTAACATGAATACATCTGGTAACATGATCTGATATTGTAGTTGGTTTTCAGTGGCGGTGATGTGTGGTCACCTTTGGTTTAAGTGCCTAGGGACAGGACACAGATCCCTCTGGATGTCATCACAATATGGCTAAGGTTTATTCTTCTTTCCAGGCGCGAGTGCAGCATTGCATCTGCTCCGTGGCCAGTGACCACTCAGTGGGACTTCTCAGCTTGCGCGAAAAAAAGTGCATCATGCTGGCATCACGTCACCTGTTCCCTGTTCAGGTCATCAAGTGGAGGCCTTCTGACGATTACCTGGTGGTGGGATGCTCGGATGGCTCTGTCTATGTCTGGCAAATGGATACTGGTAAGAGCAAGAGTAAAGAGTTACAGAAAACTAAATGACATCCTACAAATGACTTTCTCTTAGATGACATGAAAGTCCTGTAATGTAGAACAGTTGCTGCTTTTGATTTCCAATTACTGTTTTCTCTCAATGTTTTCATTCTCAACAGAGAAATACACACATATCCCCTTGTTTATTGTACTGTGGCAAATACTTGCAGAGTAATTCTCCAGTCTTTTAGGGGCTGCCATTGAATGGGATAAGCAGGTGGGATCAACAGACAGAAAAGAAAGGATAGGTGATTTCTGTTTAATTCGTGAAGTAAATTGGGAGCAAAGGGAAGGGACCATTTTAGTTTCTGTTTCAGAAATGGTGGAGAAAAGTAAAAGCTGTTTTCATTTAGGACAGCAGAAGAGCAATGTTAGTCAGATAATTGTAGGAAGTAATTGATATTAAAATTGTGAGTTCTAGAGAACATATAAAACTTCAGGTTTAATAAATTTTATACATAGTGAGTGTAACATATAGGCCATGGTTGATGAGGATGCATGGATTGCAAAGTTAATGTATCAAGATGAACTTACTCTTTAATTCCATTTTTGTGCCACAATTTGAAGTACCCTCATGTAGTGGTGTGCCCACATGGCCATGTTTTTTGCTGGGAAATCTGTAAGTATGTAATTGAATATTTATTAGTTATAGGCTTTGCAACACATTTTTCTTTTCTTATGATCTTAAGTAATTGTGTATCCGTGATTAACACCTTTCTCTAGATTGCAATTTACTTTATAATAATTCTATAAAGCTTTTTCTGTAAAATTTCAGGAATTTATTAATTCCTTGTGTACATTCATTTCTTATTCTATTGCATTATTTCTTTACTACATTACATTATTATTCCTTATGACATTACTTCCTTAATACAATAGATTCTCAGGGTTGTAGTAAGTGTATAGTAATTAGTACAGCACAGTTCTCATGTTAATAGGATACTGATACAAAGAGAATAGATTCAATGTAGTTCCTAGATAACAATCATAAGAGAAACTTATTTATATAAAATGAAGCTTAAAAAAAAATCAGAGTGTAGACATACTTATGCTTGCACTGTTGTTTACTAAAGGGTTCCCTTAAGCATTTCTTAGAATAAATAATGATCTCCAACATTCTTCTATATATTGTCCTTATGTTAACTGCTAAGACATAATTTATCTGAAGATGACAATTTGTGAGGTCATCAAATTTCTTTTTAAATTTAAAGTTCTTGGTTATAAAAAGATCACACAGGTGGGCGCAGAGGCTTAGCCCGGCACATCCTTTCTCTTACATTCATTTGTTCTGTCAATTTTTAAAAGCACGAAAGTTTGGAAGAGAAGAAAAATGAACCCAAATCTCATTGCCCATTTTTAATATAAATTTATTTTATTTTTGATAACGCTTACATAACTGAGAAGGATGTATGCCCTTGTGGACCATTGATTAGGGTAGGAAGGGTCGAGGTACTGAGGAAAGTGGATGAGACAATTGCTTACAATCTTTTTATTTTTCTTCCTGTATCTTGGGGAGGTAGGGGGAAAACAAGGGTAGAGGGTCGCTCCCAACGGCATAACTGCATTAGTACCTGGGAATGGAGGATGACCTCCCTGTGTCATCCCAGGGTCTCCAATCTGGAGCATGTTCAGAGAATACTGCCTAAGTGGTTTCGATAGTTCTGAAATGCTGATAATTTTGTTGTGCCAAGGTTGAGGTAATCGTTCCAAGGTCCATTGGCTGACATAGTCCACCTGAGAATTTCCACTCACCCAGATACTTGCTGTCAAATTGAACCAGAAGAGTTGTCTAATTTGTGCTGTCCGTTATCCTCTGCAATGCTATTAGATGTCTTCTGCAGGCCTCATTGAGCTGTCATGTCCCCCATGTGCATCTGGGCATGCTGTCTACTGCACAATCTTCAGCAACTGAAGAGGCCCAGTTCTACCTGGGTCTTGCATGTGCTGGTGGATACTGTGGTCCTATTTGGCTTGTCCCACCTCACCTTGGCTTTCATTGATGGGTGCTACACCCTGTCTCCGCCTGCCTCCAGTTCCAGCTCATGCTGCAGCCTAGCCCAGCCCAGCCCAGCCAAACCCCGGTCCCTGCCCTAATGTGAATTGGCTGGTGTTGTGGCCCAATCTGGCCTGTCCCATACCCTGCCTGGTTCTCACATCTGCCACTGGGTGCAGTGAATTGGCCTAGTCCAGTCCATTCCCAAACCTGACCCACATGGATACCATGTGCCAGTGGGTATTGCAACCTGGCCTGGTCTGGGCTGCTTCCAGCCTCGGCTCTTGACACTCACCAGGAGGAACTGCGTCCTGACAGAGGAGTTCGCCAAGCTCCTCTATCAGGCTATCTCCCAGTCATAGGTCTTGCACACACCAGTGTGTGTGTGTGTGTGGCCTAGCTTAACTTGGTCTACCTCCTGGTCTGGCATTCACAGGTAGGTACAGCAGCCTTGTCTGACTGGTCCACACCCATTCTGGCTCTAATAGGTGGGTTCTATAGCTCGGTCTTCCTATCCTAGCCTACTCCCATTCCTGGCTCTCAAGCAAATAGGTGGGTATAGAACCTTAGCCCGGCATGTCCTGTACTCCATCCTGGCTCCCACACCTGCCAGTGTGTACTAAGACTTGTCCTGGCCTTGCCCACTCCACCTCACTGGCTTTCCTACACACTTACTGACAAATAAAGCAGCCCTGCTGGTCTGGCTCACACGCAGCACAACTCTTGTACTCATGACCTGGAACTACAGTCTAGTAGGGGAGTTCCCGAGTTCCCCTACTAGACCTGCTCCCAGACTTGGATCTCATCCGTATTAGTGAGTGCCAGGGCCCTGCCCAGCACAGTCCACCCCCAGTCTGCCTTTGTGAGACCTGTCCCAGTTTTTGGCTGTGCTTGTAGGTGTTGTAGCTTGGGTCAACGTGGCCTATTCTGAGCCACCTGTGAGTTTTGGTGTGTTCTGTGGTCATGCCTGATTTGGTCATCACCAGCGCCAGCTCTTACAAGTATTGCAGTCCTATGGGGATGAGCCCGCCAATTCCCCAGACCCACTTCTCTTGAGTGCCTTTTTATGTCATTGCCAACCCCCTCCCCTGACACTCACTCATGGGAACTGTGGCCTAGTCCTGCCAAGTGAGCACCCTCGCCCTAACTTTCATGTGTACCAGTGGGCTGTGATTGATGCCAGTTGGTTCAGTCCAGGTCTCCAATGTGGCCAGGTGTCCTGGTCTGACCCAGACAAGTCCTTCAGCTTTTCCTTTCCAAATCACCTGGTCTCAGCCTCCTTGTTTAGCTGTAATTGCAGTGGCCTAGTCTGTGGAAGTCACCCATAAGTCATTCCTTAGTGATCCCTCTTCTCACACACCCCAAATACCCCTGATGGACAATTCACAGCCACCATGCCCACGCCTGAGTTGGTGGAGAGCCCTGGGACTGGTCTTCCAGGTGGTGCGGTGCTTGCTGCCAGGGGTCCACCATCCCTCACTGCCCATTGTTAACATTTTGGCATATTTCTTTCCAGTCTGTAAGTGGACATTTTTGATGCTCTCATATCATATTTAAATTTTAGTGTCTTGTGTATCTTTCTGTTATATGGTATCTCTGGAATAGCAGAGTCCTATACTTACTGGTTTGGTCTGCCTTACCAGCTAAATACAGTCTTGGGCTCTGGGATCAAACAGCAATGAAGTGAGTGTTGTATCAACCAATTGCTAACCTGTGACCTATCAAAAGTCACCAGATTTTTGTTCCTCATTTCTCTCATCCATAAAATTAGGATGATAGTACTTCCTATTTTATAGTTTTGTTGGAGGAATAAAATGAGTTAATATTTCCCACATGTGTGGCGAGTAGAATATAGGGGTGTGTATGTGTGTATGCACAGTGGATATCTTTGTAGGTTTATGGGAATATACACGCATGTGTTTGTATTTTATATTGTATTAAGGAAACATGCTGCTTGATAACTTTACTAGTGTGGAAAATATTTTCTTTGGGATTCAGTAATAAAGTTTTATAGTAATAATGACATTTGTAGAACATTGTATTAAATGACTATAAATGTTACATTAAGATTAATAAAATTTTACTAATACTAGGATATATATACTAAAAGGAAAAGATGGATAAATCTTGCGTAGAACTTGTTTAAATTAAATAGAGTTTAGCAGTAGAATATATTTTTTTGAAATTTAGTTACTTTTTATATGATACTTTAATATTTCAGGCAATTTAAATATATTTGCATGGAATATAGGATGAAATAGGAAATTCCTAAAAATTGATACTTTACTGAAAGGCAAAGTTACTTTACTGGAAGGAAATGAGAAATTACTCCCAACCATAAGGATCCTGAAAGATGTTCACTTTAAAATCTGTTTAGTGCAGTTATTCCTAATTTAGATTAAACACAATTATGTAATCTTGAAATTTGGCAGTTATCTTCTGACATTCAGAATTTGCATGGTCAGTCAATTTGACATTCTTAGATTGAGATGCAAAATAGAGGAAGAAGATGTATTTGGGGCTTCAGAAGGTGTACATTTTTTTTCCTTGTTGTGCAGGCTGTTGCTAGTGATATCAGGGTCCCCGGGGAGTCAGTCAGGTACATCCTGAAGGTATTGACATTATTTATTTATTAAACTTATTTATTTATTAGATAAATAAAAAATGAAGCCGGATAAATCAGATTCAGCTAGGGTTTGATGTATGAAATGTGTTTAAACTCTGAGGTACTTGATCCCTCTTGCTGTTCTGGGAATGTGAAGCCGTAGTGCGTTACACCTGCTCCCGTATCTGGGGCCATTTTCTCTTCACTCTTTTGCTTTATGCTCGAATGTTTCTAGTTTAAAAAACTTAAAATGTCTTTGATACACTCAGGCGGCACCTTCTGTTATTCTTTTATTTCCCCCTTCAAGCAGGTGATTTTTGTTTGCAGTGTTTACTTGTATTGTCCTAATGAAATGAAGTCTGAAGCTCCTAATATAAAATGTAATTAGAGAGCCAGCAGCCCTTGCCACCTCTGTCATGTGCCATAGCATATTGAGGTTGTGGAGATTATTCTTTCACAGCTCTTTTTAGAAAATTAGTGATAGCCTAGTTTGCTAAATCCTCACCTTGCATCCACCAGAATCTCACTGGCCACTATGTCTGGCTGCTCCATTTCCCATCCAGCTCCCTGCTTGTGGCCTGGGAAAGCAGTCGAGGACGGCCCAAAGCCTTGGGACCCTGCATCCGTGTGGAGACCCAGAAGAAGCTCCTGGCTCCAGGCTTTGGATGGGCTCAACTCTAGCCTTTGTGGCCACTTGGCGAGTGAATCATCGGACGGAAGATCTTTCTCTTTGTCTCTCCTCTCTGTATATCTGCCTTTCCAATAGAAATAAATAAATCTTTTTTTTTTTTTTTAAACTGGCTTAGCTTTAAGAAAAAGAAGAAAATTAATGAGACAATTGCAGTGAGATTTGACCAGATGAGCCTCTTGACTGGTACTTGGTGTGCTGTGACCTGGATGGTGGCTGCTTCTGTGTGGAGTTGTTTATGGGTTTCAGGGTCAACTCTCTCATCTTTCATATTTGGTATTTCCAGCAAGCATGCCCTGTCATTTCCACATGCCTTTGACAAGGTCACAGTCCTGTCTGCAAAACAATAACTTGCTTAAACAATGACTTAAAAAACAAACAAACAAAAACTCTGTTAATGCACTACCAAGCCTAAACAATATTTTTCTTCTCTCCCACTGAAATTAATGAACTGGTTGATTTGCTCGTGAAGGGCAGAGAGACAGAGGGAAGTGCAGGGGAGCTCCCGTCGCTGGCTTACCTGCCCGGATGCTGACGGGAACCAGGTCTGGGCCAGGCGGAAGCTGTGGGTGTGTTCAGTCCCTTACTCTGGAGTTGCTGCTGGCCAGGGTCTGTGTTAGCAGAAAACTGGCATCAGGATTGGGAGGTAGATATTTTCTCTTTTAAAGATTAATTTTATTCATTTGAAAGGTAAAGTTATTGGCAGGGAAGAAGAGAGGAGAAGCAACAGAGAAAGTGACAGAGAGAGAGAGAGAGGTCTTCTAGCTGCTGTTTTACTCCCCAAATGGCTGCAATAGCCACCGAAAGCCAGGAACCAGGAGCCAGGAGCTTCTTCAAGTCTCCCATGTAGGCACAGAGGCTCAAGCACTTGGGCTATCTTCTGCTGCTTTCCCAGTCACAGGAGCTGAGTAAGAAGTAGAGAAGCAAGGACTCAAACCAGCACACCCACATGGGATGCTGGTGCTGCAGGTGCTGGCTTAACTTGCTACACTACAACACTGTCAGCCCTGAAACCAGTATTAAATCTAGGAATCAAATTCAGGCACTCCAAATAGGACAAGGGCCTTTAAAAAAAAATTTTTTTTTTAAAGATTTGTTTTATTTTTATTGCAAAGTCAGATATATAAAGAGCAGGAGAGACAGAGAGGAAGATTTTCTGTCTGATGATTCACTCCCCAAGTGACCACAACGGTTGGAGCTAAGCTGATCTGAAGCCAGGGCCAAGACCTTCTTCCAGATCTCCGATGCAGGTGCAGGGTCCCAAGGCTTTGGGTTGTCCTTGACTATTTCCCAGGTGCATAAGCAGGGAACTGTCTGTAAGTGGACCAGTTAAGGTTCAAACTGGCACTCCCATAGGATACTCACATGGCTTCACCCATCGTGCACAACTCAGAGCCCTAAGACCGACATGTCTGCATTATGATTATGATTATGATTATGATTATGATTATTCTAGCTCTTTGGTTCTTCACATTTGACATGGGGAGAAGCAGCGGAAAACCAAGAAATAAGAACTTTTAAATAAATAGTATGTTAGCTGGTGGTCAGTGTTGTGAAATGCATAAGGGGACAATTTGCCAGGCTGAGCAGGGAGCAGCTCTTGTAAAACATCAGCCGCCAGGCCCAAAGGCGCTGCTCGAGCTGACGTCATCCCAGCACCAAGAAGATTGTGTTCTCAGACAGCAGGCCCTGCCTCGACGGCGGATAACGGGTGGCTGGCTGAGTGACGCAGTTTGAAATAATGGTTGTTCTTTGCATTCATGTGAGGAAACATTTGACTGGGTGGCAAAAGTCAGAATAAAGCAATTTTCTGGCAGGAGGACAAAGTTATAGTATTTTCTTTGTATGAAGATTTCCTCGATTACTCAAGGAAATCAGGAGCATCTTTTGGTAAGACATTTTGTTTATGATTGATTCATGACTTGCAGGAAAGCCAGCGCATGGCGCTTGGTATTTGTTATAGCATAATGGTATGAAAGTAGTGGGAATCATCTGGAAAGTAGGAAGAAAGGAAAGAAACCTGGGGAGCTTTTAAAAATTGGCTCCTTAAGAAAAAGGAAATGATTGACGTCCGGCTCCATGGAAGATCATCAGAGGGAAGAGAGAAGAGGTCCAAGAAGATGCTTTTGGGAGGCCTTGAGAACATGTTTAGCACACGAACCGTTGTCATGCTGTTTTTAAACTTGGGATGATGGCGTAGCAGTTTCGGATGTTGTATAATCCTTGTGAGTGTATCCTCCCGCAGGTGCACTGGATCGCTGTGTGATGGGAATCACGGCGGTGGAGATCCTCAATGCTTGTGATGAAGTTGTTCCCGCTGCCATGGATTCACTCAGCCATCCAGCAGTGAACCTCAAACAAGCCATGACAAGACGTAGTCTCGCTGCTCTCAAAAATATGGCCCATCAGAAGCTGCAAACCCTTGCAACTAACCTCTTGGCTTCTGAGGCATCTGACAAGGTATGTTTTGTATGGGGGCTCTTGAAGGGTGTAGGGCCCACTTAACTTCATGCATTAGCACAACTTCGGTGTGTCTTCGAGATTTTTTTTTTTGAGAGATGGCACTGTTGAAAATAAGCTTCTGATTTTGTGTTGGTTTCTCCAACAATATTTTAGAGTATGTAATGGATTTGGATTTGGAATAAGGAAAATATTTTTGCCATTCAGGTGCTGAAAATTTGCTTCTGCCGAGCTCAGGGATTTCAGGTTCTGAAAATAAAGCAAATGTTGATTATATTGTTTGTCAGTTTGTCTCTCCAATATTCTTTCTATAGAAAGATTTGACTACTGGTTATTGTCTCTGTGAGGAAAACAAAATAATGTAGGTACAATTAAGACATCTGTAATTGTGACATTGCTTATTTAAACAGTGTTTTCTGATTTAGTGAAGTTGAGACATTCTAATAATTTATGAAAATAAGTATGACAGAATTGTACAAGAACCTGTAATGTTTTTGGAAGACTCAAAATCAAGCATCCTTTCGCAACTGGCACCTACAATCAGTGTATGGATTACTGCTGGTTAAGACTGTTCTGTTAAGAAACGGCAGACAATCTCAGCTCAGTTAGCCAGTGTTTGCTTCGTGGTGTTCGTTCTCCATGATATTCTGCAACCTAGATTGTAGTAATGGGTGAATGAAAGCCCGAAGATAGTTCCAGTGCTTCACTGAAGTGCCACTTGAAATTCTGGTTCTGTTTAAATGCATATTACTGTTACTAATGGATAGCACACATTCTTACATTTTCTTTCTTTAAAAAAGATTTATTTATTGGAAACTCTGATATAAAGAGAGGAGGAGAGACAAAGAGGAAGATCTTTTTGTCTACTGATTCACTCCCCAAGCTGCTTTAATGGCCAGAGCTGAGTCAGTCTGAAGCCAGGAGCCAGGAGCTTCTTCCAGGTCCCCCACGCAGGTGCAGGGTCCCAAGGCTTTGGGCCGTCCTCGACTGCTTACCCAGGCCACAGGCAGGGAGCTGCATGGGAAGTGGGGCTGCTGGGATTAGAACTGGTGCCCATATGGGATCCTTGTAAGTGCAAGGTGCGGAGTTTAGCTACTGTACTTGTATTTTCATTCCTCTTATCCCTGACTTGTTTTTCATGGTTCGTCGTGTGAATGACTAGAAAGGGGATCCAAAGGCTCATTTTCCAACTTGAAATTAGCTGTCAGTTAGCAAATGCTCAGGAAATATGTTATAGGTACTTCTCCTAACCCACATCCAATAATTGGCAGTAATGTCACCTTGTGACCATTCTTTCTTTTTCCGGGTTATAAATGTTTTATTGGCTGTGTTGTGTATTTCATAAGTTGGAATTGTGACACCATTCTGCTGCTTTTTCTGCATTTTTCCCACCATATTCCAAAGTCTGAGAAGAAATCATATGGGTAAAATACATTTGTCACATCCATAATTTCTTTCAAGGAACCACATAGATGTCCTTGGAAATTCCATGTTCACAGCACATTGTTTAACACGTTATATAATGTTAATTGTCAGCAAATTTATGAAGCTAAAATGAAAAGCATATGTATATGTTACAAAATCCTCAAATATATTATTTTCCTTAGCATCTTCTACGAGTAAAAATTTGGAAAAATAATTACATAGCTAGAAAACTCTAGAAAAAATGAGTGGTACAGTAATATTTATGAAGGACTTTTGAGAGTGGTTATGGTTCATTGTGATTTTTATAATCTTGTTTGTCCCTGTTTTAATAGCACATTTTATAGTGTAATTATTGATAACAGCACCAAATATCACCACACTTATGTATTATAAAATATATTGTAAAATGTATCAGGCTTGTGGCCGTGGTAATTGTGGTTTGGCCTACAAGAAAAACAATTATGGAAGTGGGGAAAAAAGAGCTAGGAAGCCCAGGCTGCGTGGGGACACTCGCTTTATGAAAAATGCACGCTGGCTGTCCATTGAGGCATTTCCCAACTATCTTCTCACGTTCAAGTCAGAGACTCCTTCTGAGGGAAATACGCAAAGAGCCACCTTCTGGATGGCTTTTTAATCTCCAGAGAAATAAACCCCTCCAAAGTTAAATACACACACACACACCCCAGAAAACACAATTAAGAGATGCTCAGTGCCGCAGGATCTTCGGGATGTTATTAGATCTAATTTCTGATGTAGGTCTTTCATGGAAAGTCAACTCTCTACTGGGTTACTGCTTTACTGCTTTTTAATTCTTTAAAACTTTACGTAATACAGCTTTTGCCTGGTTAGCCTAAAGTGTTGGCAGTTAGGGCAAATTGGAAGTAGCTTTTTTGTTTTGCTAATTACATGAATTATATCAGGCATAGAAAATATTGCAAACTAGAATAGACAGTTTACTCTTCTCTGATGTTTTCTCTCCAGAGCAAAAACAAATAAATAAATAAAATTATCCTTTATTATAACTGCTTTGAATTTTGAAAGATGGTATATTTGAACTACTGTGTATTTCTGTTATAATGTGTATCTTATTTTCCCTGTTATTGCAATAACTTATGTAGTTATTTCATTCTTCCTGTTGAAACTCAGTGTTTTTTTTTTTTTTTGAGGTCAGGGGTCACGACTTGCTCATCTCTTTGGTTTCCCCATGACACCTGGGAACCGAAGTTCAGTGCATTTTGCTTCAGGTGATGGGTAACAGGAAGTGCTGGTACCCTTCAGTTTCTTTACCCATGGCTTCTCCACTTCCTCGCAGCTGATTTTCGTGAGACACCTGCTTTGCAGTCTCAATCCCCTCCCCTTTCCTGTATGGTATAGAGATTCACTAATCACCTTGCCCTGTACTTTTCTCTTTTGCCTTCTTCCTTTTGGTTTTAATGAGCAGCACTGTCCAGACCTAACTCGTTTGTCTTCCTTGTCCTCTGTATTTGTCAGGGTTCCAACACATCTGGAATTCTCTCAATTTTAGAAGTCTCTTACTCCATTCTTTTGGTTCTGTAGCTGCTCACTCATGGCATCATGCACATTTTGGCATGGGCGATTTTCTGTTGCCAGAGTATGGCACTAAATATTGCAGGATATTAGCTACACTTTTTTCCTCCATTCACATGGTACTACTTGCATATCTGCCGTCAAGTTGAAGCGGTCCGGTATCCTTAGGCATGAATTGCTCCTATGAGGCTGAATGACCTGTGGTTTAAAATCGTATCTCTGGGCCCAGTGCAGTAGCCTAGTGGCTAAAGTGCTCAGGAGGTGCCGGTTCTAATTCTGGCAGCCCCACTTCCTGCCCAGCTCTCTGCTTGTGGCCTGGGAAGGCAGTCAAGGATGGCCCTTGGGACCCTGAACCTGCATTGGAGACCCAGAAGAGGCTTCGGGCTCCTGGCTTCAAATTGGTTCAGCTCTGGCAGCTGCAAGATTTTGCTCTTTCTCCTCCTTTCTGTAGATCTGACTTTCCGATAAAAATAATTTTTTTAAGTCATTGTTGATCACTAAAATATCTGTTTTGTTACATTGGGTTAGTTGGGTCAGAAATTGGTCATTGGGTTTGGAGGGTATATGAGATGACATGGAGATAGAGATTGTGGAAGACATTTGTTTTTGATGTAAAAAGAGAGGGTGTTGGCCTCCAAGGCTGCGGATTTGAAAGAGGGCTTTGGGTTTTATATAGGGGATTAATGAACATTTGGTCAGAGTAGTTGGTAAGCAATACAGGCAGGCATGTTGTTGAGAACAAAGCTGAAGAGTTCATTGCTATTACACATGATTCCCTTGTAACTGGTGATGGGATAGAGGTGGAGGTGAATATCCTGTTACTTTTCAGGCGAATCGTAGACCATGCTGTCTGCTGAAAGTGAGGAAGTGGTTATAATCTCTTGTAAGTAATGCTGTGTGTTTATTATTCTTTCTAAATCCTACAGCATCCAGAGGGAGCACTGTGCTGCACTAGAAGGTATCAGATTTGTAAAGTATTAATAAGTAGCCAGTCACAGAGGGCAGTTGTTTGGTGAATGCACCAGTGGGTACGTTCAGACAGTAGTCTCGGCATATCCGGTCATGCTTTTTGAGGAGTTTTCTCTTCAAGCACTTGCACCCTGATTCTGGTTCTCGGTGGGGACATCCTGCCGGTGATTGTCTTGGGCTAAAGTGATCTTATTAGTTAAGCTGGAAAACCCTTACTACACGAGATTCATTTCTTAGCAGTAACGTGTATAATTTTCTGTCCAGCGCTTCACATCTTGGGCATTGTCATACCAATCAGAACCACTATATTTTTATGGAAAAGAGTGACAAGGTTGAAGAACTTGAAAAGTGAGCAGGATGATTTATCTTTTACCTTACATTTTCTTCTCTGTTGTCTAATTAGTCAGCAGCCTGTATAACCGAATGGGCAGTGTTTGCAAAGGTCAGTAGCTTTGTATTCTGAGTAACTAGGTGAGAGAATGGGATGTAGAAGCCAGTTGTGACCCACTAAGAACATGCTCCGTGTTTTTTGCTTGCAAATTTGACTCTGTTAAAAAAAATTGGTTCTGATTGAATTGACTTTATGATTCTCTGTGAAAAGGGCATTGCATGGTACAGACAGGGACAAGCCAAGCGATGTGTAAAGGCTTCTGGACCTTGTCTACTGAACTCTGTCGGTCCTTAAGAGGATTGTTATGATATGTATGACCTTTTAAGAATCAATTAAACTTGCTTAACATTCTATCCCCTATCTCTAACAAATAGTTGAATAGAAAATAGAAAATGTAGATTGTATATTTATTATATATTTGTAAGTAGATATAAATTCAGATTGGTTTGATCCCAATGGTTTCCAGGGCAGAGTTGTGTGTTATACTGATCGTCGTCTTTCATGAACACAGTTACAGATCCTTTGCTCAGTTGTTCAGTGTTAAGAAAGAGTGAATGTCTGTGACTCTAGGAGAAGTACATTTCTCTGGTTAAATGAAGGAAATGTCCTCATTTTGTGAGAGGTATTGAGAGAAGAAGAACTATTCCACGAGCAAAATAATCATGAT